TGCATGCATGTGTGTGTATGCAACTATTTACCTATCTACCTATCTATCACGTATGTATGTATGTATGTATGTATGTATGTACGTATTTACGCACGTATGTTTGTCTGTATGCATGCATTTGAGGTACTGTCAATATTCATGCAAGTGTAAATGCAAATGTAGATGCAAGTGCAAACATGAATGTAGATTAAAATGTAATGTGATGCTATGTAAATGTAAATGTAAATGCAAATGTCAAGCGTACATGTAGAATGAAACATGTGTAAAATGTGCAACATGCAACTTTAACCGTAGCTGCAACGGTAAGTGGAACTGCAATGTAATGTAATGTAGTGTAATGTAGGGTAATGCAACGTACTGTGCTGTACTGTACTGTACCGCCATGTCTTGTAAATGTAACGCACTGTAGTGCTGTAACGTACCGGCCATGTCATGTCATGCCATACCATGCCAATGTACGTGTGTGCAAAGACAAGATGTCCATAGATTACGGCTTTGAGTTCGCAGAACATGTGTGTCTCTATACGCGTAAAGAAGGCGGCCTTCCCGCACAGGTGTAGATTAATATTCAAGCTCAACAGGAGCCAAGCCACCAGGAGTGCCTCGTGTGCCTCCAGCAGAACTTCGGCTCTCACCTTGGCGGCCTTGGCGGCCTGGATGGCCCGCTTCAAATGCTCGGGGTCGCTGCCCCTCATAGCAGACAGCAGCTGCCTCTCAGCCGCCGTTGGCTCTGGCAACACCACGCCTGCCTGGGCTTTGGAATCCTTCTCGGGCTCTGGGGCGGTGCTGCTCTCTGAGATATGGGCAGAGCTCGGGTCTGCAAAGCTGGCAGTTGTGGACGCCTCGCTCTCTCGTCCAGCTTCTCCGTCGTCACTGTGGAAAACACCCTGGAACATCTCCTGCAACTTGTCCAGGAACCCCTTGGAGGAGGCCTCGTGCTGCTCCTCTGCTCCAGCTACACTCGAATTGTCATCTCCCGGCCTTTCGCTGGCATCCTCCTCGCAATCAGGAGCCGAGGGGCCTGCGATTTGGGGGCCTCCAGGCCCAGTGGCTGGCGCTGCCTTCAAGATATCGATGATGGCCTGGGCTTTGGCAGCCAGGTTTGGGTACCTGTCGCCATGGTCATGGCGTATCTTCTCCATCTCCACCAACACTCCTAGCTCCAGGGCTCGACGCCGGCGGCTGGGGGCCTCTTCGTCCAGCCCGAAGCAGAGGCTGCCCAGAGCAACAAATCCGTTTTCTTTCGTCGTGGGCAGGGCGCGGGCGATGAGCTCGAAGGCATTGAGTTTCAGAGCCCGCGAGCGGCACTCTTCCGAGCTGTAGCATAGGTGGAACAACGCAGTGTTCGCTTCTTCCTGCACTGCAGCATCTCCGGGGTGGGCCTGCAGCGCCTGCAGCAAAGCCTCCAGGGCTCCTAGCTCAGCGGCCTTCGCACTGCGCTCTGTGGAATTCGCGCATAGGGTACCCAACCCTTGGCTCGCAAATCTCTGCACTGCAGCATCTCCGGGGTGGG